GGTTATGAATTTCGATATATTTTTATCCAATGCCGTTGTGCTACGTGTCCTTACTTTTTCGGATTTTTTACAATTTTTATTGAACTAATTAATCTCTGCCGTTGGATTTAAAAAAAATTGAATTTCAACACTCCAAATCACACGTGTCACAACGGTAACTTTTCTTAATTTTAAAACTATTTTTTCTTTTATTTATTTATTTATAAAGCAAAATAATATCAATTGTTAATCTCATATCCAGAGGTTCATATTAAATAAGATTTTTTTATTACTGTTGCAAATCGGACGGTCCAATTTAAAGAGTCGTTGAGATCGAACAGACCATGGGAAGCCACGTGGCTTCCCAACGGTAACCTTGGCAGACTGCGACATGGGCCCAAGCTCTGAAAAGTTGTCGGCTGACGCACCCCCACGCGCGGGTGACGTTAGCCCTGACGTCACATCCACTCGGGCTGGCAATTCCTCATAGGCCCAGAGCTCGGGCCTCCACTCTCCCTCGGGCTACCCACGCTGGAGCTTCAAGGCCGGGCTATCTGGCCCTATTTCGTCCCCCGTCCCCCAAGCACCAGCCCACGCTGGAGTTGCTCTAAAGTGGTGCTGATGTTCATCACTCTATTAATTAGGATTAGATAGTTTAAATTTTGAGATTTGTGTAGTAGATAAATTAAATTAAAATTATCCAACAACAATCAAAAATTGATAACCATCACTATCACTTTAGAATGATAAGCATAAATATATCCCGTTAATTATGGTGGGTATATATATGTACACTAGATTTTTTAGTAAAGTTACATAGTACTTATCTCATGGGCTGACTCGCTGTACTCAGCTGAGGCAATGCTTGGCCCACTACTCAACCATACTTAACTAAACTGGTGATTTCTATTAATTTTATTGGAATTGTTATTGACACTTCAAAAATCTCATTATGCACTCCAAACTTTTTATATTTGAAAAGAAAAATACACTTGTGAGAAGTGTAGAATAAGATTTTTGAAGTGCCAATAACACTTTCAAATTTTTTTAGTAGAGCTATGTAGTTGATAATGGGAGAGCAATCTGTTAGAGTTGAACTCGTAGCACAATAGGTACGCATAATTGTTTTTTGTCACTATTGTCGAGCACATGTATGAGAATATCCGATCTAACAAATGTTGAGAAAATTGGCATTAAATTCAAATGGTTTTTTTTTTTTCTTATCTTTTTCTTCTTTGGTCGGAAAGAGAACTTTAAAAATCCAAGTGGCTTTGCATATTTCTCTTTTTAATTAATTATTTTTGTATTCATGTTTCTATATATCCAGCTGCGATAGTTAGTTGGCATGCCCGGTTCACTTGCGAATTTAAAAAAACTTGTGTAGGAATGTAAGATTAACTAGAGATGAACGTTAAGTGTATTGACCAATTAAAACTTTGCCCATTTGCCAACAAATATTTAATTTTATGACTAAAATGACCTAAAAGTTCCCTTTCGAAACAACTAATGTTGTACGAGTCTCCTTAGTGGAGTGATGTCTTCAAACATGCTATGAAAACTAAAGCCAATTAAAGACGACTGACTCTAATGGAAAACAATTTTCTAGTTTCTAAGAGTGTACCACGTGAAAAAGAATTAGAGATCTTTTAGTTTAATGTGATATTATAGTTATGGACGACTGACTGTAATGGAAGACAATTTGTTTTCCATCAAATTAATAATCAACTTTCTCCCCCCCCCCCAAAAAAATATAATAATAAAATAATAATAATAATAATCAACTGTGTGTTATACCATTGGTTTCTCATCCACCAACCCTTAAACTAAAAGCCAAACACATGTTAAGTTATCTGGCTCACGTTAATGTATACCACTGGCCTTTCTTTACTGACCGTCTACATAGAACAAGGTTCTAAAAGACGTTAGACGTTAATTGGACGACGGGCTGAGACCTATGCGACTAGGCGGATTGAAGTAAATTTATTATATACTGTATCAATAAGTGTCTATTTATACTTTAAAAAACTCATAATTGTATTGCGATACATGCATTGCATAATAAATTGACATATAGGTTATAAAGTATTAGAATATATTGAAAACATGGGGAGCAAGCATATAATGAGTGTTTATCCAAGTATTCAACAAGTCTATTACATTTTATTGAAAAAGTAAAATGCAAAATGAAAGTTATCGATTTTCTGTTTAAGTGGGAGTTGCAACCTAGGCGGATTCAAGTGCGCTAGACAGATGCTTAAGCGTGTCTAGGCGTCATTTCTTAATTTTCAAACGCCTAGGGACTAATTGAGGCGTTGCCCTAGGCGCTAGGCGGAGATTTTTAGAACAGTAGCATAGAAACATGTTACTGATAAGCGGAAAGGGATCCTTTCCGGATCCCTTCCACCTAATTCTTCTCATCAAACAATCCGAGCCCTTGAAATTTGATTTAACGGCTAAAATTATTATAACTTTAAAGTAGACCCTTGTTTTTAGTCATTGGATCAAATTTCAAGGGTTCAGATTGTTTGATAAGGAGTAATAGGTGGAAGGGATCCGGAGATGATCACTTTCCATAATCTTCCTAACACGTCAGTATACATGTCAACTTGTAATCTACACTTGTAGGTGTGCAGAATTGTCCTCATACATGTAAAGAGCACTATGTTGTAGGTGTGTAGGAGTGTTCTCATGCGTAAAATATGTCAAAAATAGATATGGAAGTTGAAACAAATTTATAAAACAAAAGGGGAAGAAAAAGGAGTTGGGGAGTGAAAACAAAAAAGGAGGGAGACAAAAAGGAGAGCGATCATGATATAGTTGAGGCAGTCAATCAATATACAGTGATCATCAATGTATATAATTACAACACATTGATCTCTGTTTCAAATTATATAGCACGTCTAGGCACATAAGAAATGTAATGAATATATCCCTTTGCAACTTGCTAACGTCAACGGAATTTACAAGTTTGGTTGATTGTTTGTCAGGTCATCATTCATCATAATGCAAGTGCTTCGATATGTCTATATTTAGATACAAGTAATATTAAGAAGATTAAATTTGTAAACTAAATGAAATGTCACCAATAAAAAAAATAAGTACGTTAATCAACACTTAATTAATAATAAAATTATCAACAACAACATCATTTAGGTTACAAAAATTAATTTAAAATTTAATCTCCTTAACATTACTCTTTAGTCTTTACATATATAACATGTTATGGCGCAACAAGAGAAGGAAGAGAGGTGAGAATAGTACGCATTAGTGTTTTATTTTTTAATGACTTCCTCAAAGGAAAATCAATTAATATTATTTTTCTTTCAAACAAATGATATTATCTACATAAAGGGATGAGTGAGTGTGCTAAATTTCACAATAGGTTAACCATAATAATATGATTCAAATTCGTATTTGATAAAAATTAAACTTAAGACATTTTGTTTACAAGTTAAGAATAATACTCCTAGACTCTAATACTGAGTGACTCTAACACCAAGCTTTAAACATGGACCTGTTTACTGAAAGTACTGATTAATTTAATCTAAATGTAGCAATTAAAGGAATCTGCCTAACACAAAAATATAGGAAGAAGAGATGTGGTCAATAAGGTGTTGTCATGTGATCATTGGTGATGAGGTAAGATATGCCTAATGATGATCCTTTTTTCTGATGATCTTAGGAATTCTGTGATAGTGACCGTTGATCGTATATCGTACATTAAAAAATAATTTCAAAATTTAAAATTTAAAATAAATAGTATCTAATGAAATTTAATCGCACGATGTACGATGAAAGATCACGATCCTTGAATTCTTAGGATCTCAAAAGAAGAATCCAGCGAGAATTCTTTTCCTAATTAATTGCGCTGGATCTTTTTCCTAATTAATCAATCAAAGTGGGAATGTGTTTTGAAACAAAGCAACGGACAAAAGGAATGGACCTTAAACGGACAAAAGAAAGGAGAGACGTGGAATTAGGTTTGCAGAATAATTCAATTTAGAAAGTTGCACTCTCTCTTTCATTCTCTTACCCTCTTTTTACTGTTTTCCCTTTTCAACTTTAAAAAAAAGGGAAGAGATCATCGTCCCACCAATTAATTAATCCGGACTCTTAAAATTTGATTTAATGATTAAATTTATTATAACTTTTTAAGGGTCCTCCGCTTGTAGCCGTTAGATCAATTTCAAGGGTCTGAATTAATTGATTAGTGGACTTTGGTGGGAGAGATCTAGAAAGGATCTCTTCCCTAAAAAAATATCCGCTAAACAAAAATATTTTACTTTTTACATAAAAAATTAGAGCAGGATTCTCGTCTGATTCTCTTTGTGAAGATCCTGTAGATCCTTTAATCATGTCATTTTATCGTACATCGTGCGATCATAAATTATTTTAAACTATATTATTTAAAATTGAACACAAATAGTACCTGACGAAAACTGACTGCACGATGTACAATGAATAGACAAGATTAAAAGATCTACAGAATCCTCATAAAGAGGATCCGGTGAGAATCCTATCTCATAAAATTGTAGTGTTTTTTTTATACTTTTGACAGTTTCATGCGTTTGTAAAAAAAAATAAAAAAATAAAATTTCTTTTTGTGTTTGTATGTATGAATGACTCCACTTCATGTAAGTTGTTAGTGTTTTTGTCATTGTTAATAGCAAAATAAATTAACAAAGGTAAGAGCCATTTATCACTACGGTTTAGTGGTATTCCTTTTCAATGGTAAGTGAGACGTCTTATATTCGATTACAATCAAAGATGAATTTAAACCATATTATTACTAGTATATTGTGAGGCTTAACTTATTCTCCCATCCTTTAATATAGATAATATCGTTCGGTCAAAATAACGGTAAGTTAAGGGTGAATGCAAAGGAGCGTGTACCCCATTTCATATCCAATTCCCTACACCCTCATCTCTCTCTCTCTCTCTCTCTCTCTCTCTCTCTCTTAATTTTTTTTTTATATATAGTTGCATATTGGCTCCCACATCAATAACATATACACTGCTACATTTTATTTGCTCCACAATTGTTAGCTGGGGTAGGTCTCAATCTGTCAGCAATGGCACCAGAACCAAACATTTCAGAAGCTGAAAGCACCAGCAACTCACCCTCATGCTCGTCTGGTTTGTTGCATACTCGCCCGAATTCAACCTCCAACACGCCCAACACCATAACCAAGAAGCCCAGCTCAGAGCAGCAGCAGCAAGTAATACTCAAAAGAAAGAGACATGATGATAGCAACGTCAACAGCAGCAAACACCCAGTTTACAGAGGAGTTCGTATGCGCAACTGGGGAAAATGGGTGTCTGAAATTCGCGAGCCGCGCAAGAAGTCAAGAATCTGGCTTGGCACATTCTCAACTCCTGAGATGGCAGCCCGTGCGCATGACGTAGCCGCCCTCAGCATTAAGGGCAGCTCCGCCATTCTGAACTTTCCAGAATTGACCGAGTTGTTGCCACGGCCAGCGTCCCTTAAACCTCAAGATGTCCAGGCTGCCGCGACCAAAGCAGCAGCCATGGTTCATTTAAATTCTACAACATCATCATCATCGTTATCATCATCGTCCTCCTCCTCTTCCTTGTTTTTGTCGCAGTCCGAGGGTTCGGATTCTGAGGAGCTAGGGGAGATTGTGGAGTTACCCAATATCGAGGGCAGTTTCGAGTCGCCCGAGTCGAGGAACGAGTTCATACTGGTTAATGACTCATTGGATGCGTGGGTGTATCCATCACTAGGTCTCGAGGGAGTTGAGTTAAACTTGTGGGGATTTTTCTCATCAGATATTAGCAGCTGAGAGAACTTAATACTCCCAGCAACTTTGGAGGTCTAGTAATGTGGGTTGTGAATGACTTAATTGGTGTTCGTAGTTTTTTTTTAGCTTTTTCATCTCTAGAAAATTGCTGATTTTATATGGTCCGATATAATTCATTGTGCAAGTTGTTTGCCTGCTTTTGACAAGTGGTCACAATTGTCATTGTAATATAATCCATACAATTTGGTGATATATCTTTAATTATTTAGTATACGTCTTGGTTTTTCTTCCCAGAATATAATTACATTCCATGCTCCAAAAGATCTTCAAAACAAGTTAACTTAGTTGCTGCACATATATGGCATATTCTTTCACAGTGACCAGGGACCACGGCTTACACATAAATGGTTTTTTTATTTTTTAACAAAAGATATTTATATGTACTATGGGAGTTAGCTAAGCCTCACAATAAGCTAGCAATAATGTGGTTCAAATTATCTTTTGACGAGAATTGAAATTAAGATCTCTTACTTACAAATGAAGAAAAACACCGCTAGATTGTAGTACTAAGTGACTACATATAATTGGTATTAGCTGCACTACAAGCAATCATTACCGTAATGCATGATAATTATCATTAGTCGTCAATGTCTCCTCTTTATCTTATTCAACTTTAGAAGTTCGCATTACTATTTGTTAATTTGTTTTTTCTTTTGGCCTTCAATTGTGGACTAAGATGTAATGACTCTTATGTATTGGCCAAATTGGAAAATTCTACCGTTGGAAGGTCCAGAATTATGTTGTCATCACATAGGGATTTGAATCCCATCCGGATATAAATTGTAGAGATTATATGAATTTTCACATTCTAATCATTCATCATATATAAATCGTGCGGTCAGAATTCATTTGAAATTTTTATTTAAAATTAAACACAAATAGTACGTATCTTATTCAACTTTAGAAGTTCACATTACTATTTGTTAATTTGTTTTTTTCTTTTGGCCTTCAATTGTGGACTAAGATGTAATGACTCTTATGTATTGGCCAAATGGAAAATTCTACTGTTGGAAGGTCTAGAATTATGTTGTCATTACATAGGGATTTGAATCCCATCCGGATCTAAATTGTAGAGATTCTAGGAATTCTTACATCCTAATCATTCATCATACATCGTGCGGTCAGAATTTATTTGAAATTTTTATTTAAAATTAAACACAAATAGTACCTATCTTATTCAACTTTAGAAGTTCACATTACTATTTGTTAATTTGTTTTTTTCTTTTGGCCTTCAATTGTGGACTAAGATGTAATGACTCTTATGTATTGGCCAAATGGAAAATTCTACCGTTGGAAGGTCTAGAATCATGTTGTCATTACATAGGGATTTGAATCCCATCCGGATCTAAATTGTAAAGATTCTAGGAATCCTTACATCCTAATCATTCATCATACATCGTGCGGTTATAATTTATTTGAAATTTTTATTTAAAATTAAACATAAATAGTACCTAAAGAAAATTGATTGCACGATATACAATAAACGGTAAGATATGACGATCCCTAAAATTCTCACAAAGAAAAGGACAAGGATTGTCTACCTTCCCACTTCCCGCACCCTCCTGTTTCTGTGGTCACAGTTAAACCACGTCAACATTTTATATTACTATTCATTTTTGTCTTATTATCTCTATAAAAAAACAATATAAAATGTTGACGTGACTTAACCGTAATCACACAAAACAAAAGGGTACGGGAAGGCACGAGAAGTGGGAGGGGCAGACAATCCCTATTCCAAAGAAAATCCTCAACAAATGTACCGTTGGAAATTGCAATGATTCGAAGTGACTTCTTCCGTATATCCGAGGACAAACATGCCATAAAAAAATAAAATAAATTGAATATGGTTGCAACATTTGATCCGGGATCCTCTCCTGAGCAGTTTCCTAGGGATCCTGCAATCATGTCTGTTCATCATATATCGTGCGGTCAGAAATTATTTAAAATTTAAATTTTAAAATTCAAATATAAATAGTATCTAACAAAAACTGACCGTACGATATAAAATGAATGGACAAGATTGCGGGATCCCTAGGATCCCTAGAGAATTGCTCAGGAGAGGATCCTGGTTCGCAACATTTTTCTGTGTGGGGACAGAAGAAATGTGGCAAATTTTAATATTGGATGACAACTGGAAAGAATTTTCCAGGAGACCAAATAGGAAATCGGAATGGTAATGGCCAGTCAAAAGACCGGGAGCACAACCCTATACAACGAACGGGGGAGAGACGCCGGGAGTAAAACTCTTTTTTTTTTTTTTTTTGAAAGGAAGGTACGATTTTCATTAGCAAATCAGAACACGTACAAACTGAAAATAGTGTGCTTAATGAGCCTCTTTATTTCTAAAAAGTTAAGAGAAGAAAAGAAAAAGATCATGGGGTTTACCGGGCCGGTAACACCCCGGAATCAAAGACGGAGGTTCTGTTTTAGTGTGGTTGTTGGCGGAGAGTGTTCTAGATAGAGAGACGGGAGAGGTTGAGTTGTTTTAGTCTCACCATGCATGTAAGATACACCATTCTGTACATAGACCATGAGTTTTACTTTTTGTAGGATTAGAATAGTGCTAGTAAATTTGTAATTATATTCAACTAAGATGTAAGTAAATGACTAAAAGAAAGTAGGATTTTTATATAAAATTAGTGAAAAAAAGTTGGACGATTTTGGAATATTTTTTTTAACAAACGATATTATTTACACTAAGGAAGAGAGGATGGACTTAGCCTCACAATGAGTTAGGAATAATGTGGTTCAAATTTGCCTTTGTCGATAATCAAACCTAAGACCTCCACTTATAAGTGAAAAGAAATACCATTAGATCGTAATACTATGTGACAAAATTAAAAAAAAAAAGAGTTTAAGATGGATTAATTGTCATCGAGGTGACAAAACTTTGTTAGGGACTGAGCACGAACCTACAATACTTTTTCTTTTTCCTTTTCTATTTAGAGGAGGAAAATAATCTATGTCTCAATCAATGGTTAGTTGATTAGTATTCCACTTTGATTTATGCAACTTATTGTTTAACATCTATATAAGAATATGACATTAAAACTTTTTTAGCCCTAGCTAGGTCCTTGTTTAATTAGTGCCTAACTTTGTTGTCTCTTGAAGAAATTAGTTGTCAAACTAATATAATTCAACCCTAAACACTCAAAAAGATGCAAATTAAACTTGAGTTTATCAAAAGGGTGACAAAGGTCAAATAAAATAGAAAGAAACTTGCATGTCATGTGACTAGTTAAGTAGCATGCATCATCTAATTAAAGTTTAGTTATGTGTTGTAGGTTTTTACCTAAACTTAAAATATTTTAATTAGATTGTATCGATGATGTGACACACGAAAAATTCTCACCTACATTTTTTCTTGTAATCTAGACAACTAGACACTTACTAATTCAATTTTTAAGCTCCAACCCCGTTTGCGTACTTTAACCTAGAAGAAGATACAAATAACCTGTACTCGGTGGTTGAAGTTAGACACATAGATCTGTCTGTTTCAAAGTTTACTTTTGGGAAACAGAGAGTTATTAACAGATAATTGAGGTGCGAAAAAGATGTTTTCGTCGGGGACAATAGAAAATGACACAGTTTATGTGTACTCAACTGTTATATTTTTGCTTACATAATCAAGCAGCAGGACCAGTGAGACAACTCACCCAAGTCTTTCATTAATATATAACAAGGACTCGTTACTTTGTCAATTCTAATTGCAAGTTGCAATATTTCTCAATAGTATAATTACCATAAAGTCCATGGTTTATTATTATTTTGTCTCTATATATAAAGTTCCCTAATATGGAATGAAAGACATGCACACTTAATTAAATATTTAGAATTCAACAACAAAAAAAAAATTTAGAATAATTAAGGTTAAATTTTTAATCAATAAAAAAAAGGTAAATTTTTTTAAGGGATTTTCATTCTATCTTAGAATAATCTCTTCCTTCTCCTTGAATCTTATTTTACATCCTTCTGTCATTTATGCTTTAACTACTTACGTAGGTTAACATGATCAAACATGTTGTTCTTCTTATTTTGGCTGATTTAGCGTTTGTTGTTGATATGCATTAGATGTCCTTTCTTGACCATAATAAAAAAAGTTGTCCTATTATCTGACTTTGTGTATATGACTAAGGCCATGACCAAACTTTTATATTATTACAAATTTAACTTATCTGTATGCTTGCTTTTATTTATTTTATTATTAATGGAGAAAATAAATACTTCTACTTCAATATACAAAACATTAAATGGCTTTCCCGACGATTATGCCAGGGAATTTTTGCTGCGATAGGTCAAATTTTGCAGGTGAACGGCTTTCCTGACGACTATGCCAGCGAATTTCTGCTGCGATAGGTCAAATTTCGCCTGTGAAGATCAATTTTCGTAAGGAAAGATGTTGCTAGCCAAGCCTAGCCATCAAAGATCTTTCCCGACGGCTATTGTAAAATTTTTCTGCATAGATCTCGCTCGATGAACCTAAGACTGCAAAATAGTAACGCCAGTAAGGAATATACGGGCAAAAAGGATTATGTTGAGTGGTCCGAAGTCTCAACTCTTGTTCAGTTATGTTGAATTAGTCCAAAACTCTAGATTCTAGCAAATAGAAATTGCTCAATATAGACATTTGTGTTTGTAACTTAGGGTACAATGTTATTGCTTGAAATCCAGATAGGAAATAGGAGAATTACTTTATTAAATTCATGAATTGATACTTGGTCTTATTGATTGACTAACATAGTTAAATTATGCATCTTTGAGTCATTGAATCGATTAATTGTTGTGGTTGTGAACCTATGTTGGAAAACATTGTGATTTATGTGAATGACAAACCTGGTCGTGAAATGGTTGCTTTAAGTAGTTTGGAATCTTGTGATTATGGAATTCTATACTTTTCTACTAAAAAGTACTATGATAAATGTCGGAGTCTAGTGAAGGGTGAACTACGAATGGCTTGATCTTGTCTGAGGGTACATAGGCAGACTAACACAAGATTAGATGCAACCATGACATTAAAAAAAAAAAGTTTACTACATTATTGAGCTATTGAGAGTTTTTTTTTTTTTTTTTAATTTTTTTTTACATGATTTGAAAGTGAGGCAGGATCGATAAACACATACCTTTAACGTCATGTCTCGATCCTGAACATATTCGAAGATTGAGGTGTGAAACCACTAATTCATCTCCTATAGAAAGAAATCAAACAAGTTT